TAAATGTAAACCAAGAAAAAGCTTCAGAACAGAAGGAGTGGGGCTGTGAGCAGCCTAGGGCTCTCCACGGCAGGTTCAGCTGCACTTACTCATTTCCAGGATGACAGCAGGGATAAAGAGCTGCTGAGAGAGCGCAAACTTCTCCCCTTGGTCAGAGCTAAAACCTGCTGGATCTGACCTAGTGAGTCCATCCCTACCCCTGGAAGCAACTTCATGCCTGCAGACAACTCGGTGGAGAAGCTACATCAGGTTATGGCCATCAAACCTCTCAGATTTGGAGGATGCTCATTGGAAAAGGACCATTTCCTTATCACAGTGACTTGTTGGGAATTACCTGGAGTTAATTTTGGGACACTTGGGGTGGAAACTAAGCACAAGCGAGGTGGGGACCCAACAAACAGCAATCTCAGCCCTGTTGGGCCAGGAATTGCAAAGCAGCAAGGTCACTACCAGGGGGGAGAAATTCAGCCGAGCAATTTTGAGAGGGAAGGAAGAGTAGGAGACGATGCTGGCAAGCACAGGGTGAAATCAAACTGGAGAAATCAATAAAGGGAAAGGACAGAGGGGGGCAACGGGATGCGGGAAGAGATAAATTAAAGGCTTGCCCAGGGGTTATGATGGCATGATGAGCAATAAATTAAATAAAAGAGGGCAACAGGGACGAGCAAGGTACTGTGAAAAATTAATTAAAAGGAAGGGAGGCATAACCAAGGCATAAAACATGGGTGCTGGTGGAATGGTTAGAGGACCCAGGCGATGAAGAGGCTTTGGAAATTGTAATAGGAGCCAAAGCAGGGGCTGTAAAGGCTGTGACCGCGTGTGAGGGTCAGATAAACAACACAGATGCATTTTCAAGACTATGAGAAGCAGGAAACCGTTGGAGAAGAAAGGAACCATCTCGCAGAAGGAGGCGGCGCTGCAAGTGTGGATGTGCTGATATTCCAAGCTCCATTCTTTGGCTTTTGCAGCCAAAAGGCAGCAGGGTACCGAGTCCCCCAACCACCTGCACTTGGTCTCCCCTCCACGGAGCTCTCCTTGCCCCAAAGGAGAGGGCACGGGTGCTGCCTGCAGGATGAGGCATTGCAAGATGGGGTGTTTTAGCCGAGTATCTTAATTAGGTGTCTGTTGAGAGACAAGGGAAGGGGTGACCGGGTCTGATTGGAGCTGGCTGCCTCCAGGACTCCCCTCCAGCTCTCCAAAATTAATCTACCACCTGCCTGCAGCCATCTCTGAAGGGATCCCCCGGCCCCTTCTGCATTCTTCTGCTTTCCCACTCTTTCTTTTATGCCTTATAGTCAAACCTTGTATTGTCCCTTTGCATTTTTCCTGAAAGCTGTGGGTTTCCTGCGTTGTCTGGGAACCAGGACATGGCACCTGCACCCTGTTGACCTCCCATGGGTTATCTCCTCCTCCACATTCACCTTGTCTCGTTTGCTTTGTCGTGTCCCATCTCACCCACAGGCTGTGACTGTGGATTGAACATGTGTCTGAGGTGCTTCGAGCACAGAACTGAAGCTGGGTTGTCTCTGGGGTTCCTCAACAATAGCTTGGAGCAACAGTGTTGGGTAGAGCTTATCCTTAGAAGGGGCTGGTGGTGGCAGTGGTCTCTACACTGCCCACCTCAGCGTACGTGGCCGTGGGGTAGACTTACGCATTATACTCGAATTTACTCTTCTTTTCAGGTCTGTTCAGCCTGGAGGAGAGCAGAGTGAGGGGGGATATTATCAATGTTTATCAGTATCTAAAGGGTGGGTGTCAAGAGGATGGGGCCAGACTCTTCTCAGTGGTGCCCAGTGACAGGACAAGAGGGAATGGGCACAAACTTGAATATAAGAAGTTCCACCTAAACATGAGGACAAACTTCTTTCCTGTGAGGGCAGCAGAGAACTGGAGTAGGCTGCCCAGAGAGGTGGTGGAGTCTCCTTCTCTGGAGACATTCAAACCCACCTGGACACGTTCCTGTGGGACCTGCTCTGGGTGACCCTGCTCTGGCAGGGGGTTGGACTGGATGATCTCCAGAGGTCCCTTCCAACCCCATATCACTCTGTGATTCTGTGATGAGATAATTGCATTCAGTAACCTTCCCAGCACGTGCTTGACAAAGTGCGAAGAGAAATAATTCTGCATTCACACGTCAGAATCCCCACTGCAGAAATCCCACCATCTAACTTGCCTACAGAGGAATAAAAATTATAAATTAATGAGAAAGAGAAAAGAAGCCACACGGGGCAAAGACAGTCCGTGCCTGGCACAAAGTACCCGCCCAGCCTCCCAAGGGTAACTTAGTCACACAATTAGGCTTTTTTAGGCTTTGGTCACAAAGGCTGTGAAGGTTCATGTCCCACAACCTCCCCCACACCGGACACGGAGCACCGGTACCCGCCACCTCCTCACCCGCACCGTCCTCTCTAAATTAAGAAACCTGTTACATCGCTTCCTTCCTTGGCCCACCGGGTGCTAAGAAGGTCACCACCAGATCGTAGCTTAATGGGCTACTGAGTGCCACCCTAATCCTGGCAGGACAGGAACTGACAAATGACCTGAGCAAGCGATTATCGTCTGGATTTATTTGTGATTAGATGCCGTGATGGCCCATTCCAACATTGTGGGTTTATTTTTTTTTTCTAAGACAGACAGAAAATTACATCCACCCCGTTTTTGTCGAGCTCTGTGTCCTCTCACTATGGGACACTTCCAGCCCTCTCTCGGTGGACTCGGAAATAACAGGTATTTCTGTGACCTTCCCTGCATTGTTGGAATAAACAGGGGTTTTCATCAGCCTCCCCCACTCTCCAGAGTCACTCTCAATGCTCTTCCCCAATTGCCTGAATGACAGGTATTTTCACAGCTTTTTCTGTATCCCCCGAGAAATAGGTGGTTTCGCAGCTTCCCCTGGAATCAACCTTTATTCCGTGTGCTCCCAATAAATAACTGGAGGGAGAAGTGAAAAATGAAAAAGCAAATAATCAGCCGGCAGCGTTCAAGAGTTCAGAAGTCCCGTGAAAGTGAAGAACTCATGGATTGAAGGAGATGCTGCAGTTCAAGCCCTGCAGTTTCTGCACATGGGATAAAAGACACTTTCCTCCCCTTGCAGTAAATACCCTGCACGAGAAGAAGGCTCCATAGTTTAAAGCACCCTTTAATGTGTCAACAGCCAAACCAAAACTTTGAAAAACTTCTGGCAGTGTTTTGTTTTGTTGTTTGTTTTTTTTTTTAAATAAAAAAGTAAGGTATTTCTTCAATGCCGCTGAATATCATAATTTCATTTGCTGAGTTAAATCCTGGTCTGTAGAATTAGGGCAGAGCAGTTCTCTTACTCATGCAGAAGAGGGTTTTTAGCCAGCTCATTTGTTTAACATATCTGTATGTCGGTATTTTTTAGTCTTACTTTGTGTCAAGATATTCTCAATACCACTAAGGGAAGGTATTTTAAGATAAAAGCAGAAAATGGTTTTAGAGAAATCATAAGCAAACACAAATTCCTTTTTTCCTTCAACTGCCTGATTTTGGTTGGAGGAAGTTCAGGTGAATCTCTACCTCTCTGTTATTTGCAGTCTCTTGGATTAAATTTCCAAACAAGGCAAGAATTGTCAAGCTCTTGGATCCTTATTTACTGTTCGTGGTCTCTCCTGGGGTCCACCAAGCAACAGCAGAGCTCCCACCTATAGGATAAGAAGTTTTACCTAATAACATTTATTTTTTCTCCCTCCCATGGAAGTGCTAAGGAAAAACCCAACCATGATACCAATTAAAACAAATGTGTTACACCAGGACTGGAAACCCTACCAAGTGGAAACTGAAGACCTGCTTTTATCCATGTCTGGTAACTGGAGGACAAGATCTACTGCTGGGAACATCACACTGCTCCATCTTCATGTCATACACATGGTACAATTGCACCCCACTGCTGAAGCAAACTCCGGGTTTTATTCACCTAAAGCGTCCTGTTCTTCCTAAAACAAAACTCCCACAAAACCAGGGAGATCTCCCAGCTCAGGTCTTCACTGCCTTCTTTGCTCAGGAAGCACAGCACGTTTCTAACAGCCGCAGTGGACCAGCACTTCCCAGTACTTGGGGTCAGGCTGTCACTGGAGCTAATCCCCAAGCCTTCTTCCAGCCCACCACAAACCCCCTTCTTCAAAGAGGTGCTTTCAGCTCAGCCTGTCTGTCCAAACTGGGTCTGGGGGACGTTCAAACACCTGTCCTGACAGTCCTGGCACTCTGGAGTTGGTTATCTTCCAAAATGTTGTCCTGAGGACACCGCTGTAACTTTTGGGGACAGCTAACTGCTCTAAGAAACACAGCCCTGATTTGATGTTGGTCAAGGAAATACCAAGCGCGTGCTTCCTCCCAGCCCTTTTTCAAGAGGGTGCTCTGCTCGTGCAGAGGCAGTAAAGGGGTTTTGACCAAACTCTGGGCACCCTCCTTCCCTGAACACCAGCACTGAGAGGTGCCTGCATGTCCCAAGCATGGTGTCCCCTGTACGCAGAGCTTCTCCCCAGGTTCTCCTTCCCTCCTCCTACCCTGGGGTGGGCACCAGGGAAGACAAGAGCAGAGCCCACCACTATGGCACCCAGAAGTCACGCTCTTATTCGCAATTTACTCCCAACAAACTGCAAACATAGCTTTTAGAAGACATACAAGCAATGAATCAGAAATGAACATGTGCTGAATCCCACCACGTCCAAACCGAACACAATCTGCCCATCAGGGTGTAATTAAGCCGATCCAGTTTCCACTGCCAGCAGCACACAGAAGAACAGCAGATCCTCAGCAACATCCATCCACCATTGTCTCCATTAAAGCTTCCACCGAGCCAGGATGAGGCCACTTCCAGCAGGTTCAAAGAGAGAAAACCTTCAGCCTGAATCCACAATGAAGCCCAGCATCTGAAGCAAGCTGTCCTTGCTCCCCCTGAGTCCCACCTCGCCGAGAAGAACCTCAGGGATCTCTCCCACCATTCATCCCATCTAAAAGCACCGCAAGACACAGTTACTCACCGGGGCTCCGGGGCTGGTGGGGGCACTTGGGGTTGGTTTCTCAGTCCTTCCCGTCACCGCTCCGGGAGCAGGCGCAGCAGCTCCTCTACGGTCTCAGCTTCGCCCTGCAAGAATCAGGACACAGAGGGGGGTGGGTTTTTTGGTATGTTTTTTGGTTTTTTTTTTCCCAGTTGAGGTAAGCAGATAATCCAGTACTTTCTAACCCTCAGCAGAGCTGGGTGTGCTGTGGGGGAAAGAAAAAGCCGCTGCCTGGTCGTCTGCAAGGATCAGCCCCAGGACTTTCCGAGCTCAGGCTCTGAGCGGCTTAGCCAGGAGCTCAGGGAGGAGCAGAGGGAGCCAAGGGCTCGGGACGGCGGCTGGGGAGGTGCTTCAGGTCAGCTCGAGTGCCAGAAACCCCCCCCCAAGAACAGCTTTGTAACGTTAATATTGCAGAGAACAAGGTAACTGGCAGATTGGGGCAGGGGGGGAAACTTCTGGTGACCGGTGGCTGGGATTTGTTCAGGGAAAACAGTTGCTTCAAAGTGAAACATCCCACAGTAAAGCAGAAACATTTGCATGGTTTGTTGTTTTGTTTCGTTTTGTTTTGGTTTTTTTCTGTCTTGAAAATGTATTTTGAAACTGAAAATAGAACCATAGAATTGTCTAGGTTGGAAGGGACCTTTCAAATCATCGAGTCCAACCTACAACTCAACACTGACCAAACCACCACTAACCCATGTCCCTCAGCACCACGTCTGCCCATCTTCTAAATGGCCTTTAAAAACCTCCAGGGATGGCGATTCCAACACTTCCCTTGGCAGCCTGTGAAGATTTTGCTTTGCTGACTTGATTTGAAACATTTTGTTGATGGAAATGGGATGGCCTGCTTTAAGTCAGCTCCTTTGGGTTCCCTGCTGAGCTGTGAGGATACCTCCTGGGACATTAAATTAAGGTGCCTTCCCTTCTCTGCCGTGGGCTGAGATACCTGGCTGGACTGAATGCAACACGCTGGTGTGTCACCTTGAGAGACCTGCCAGGTAGAAATGCAACCAGGATGTTATAATTCAGAAGTGAGAGCTGCAGGACTTTTTGGGGTATTTTTATGCTGGGAAACACTCAAGTGCCCCCTGAGCAGTCTCTCGGGCAGCAGCATCCATCCAGGCTGGCAGGGGATGCTCCTCACTGGGGAGGCTGCAGGGCATGGCTGCTGACCCCTTAAGAACTGGGTTAATGCTTCAGAGGTGGGATCTAGGTCCCATCAAATCCTCACGCCTCAACTAAGCGCGTATCGACTCCTCCCCTGGTCCCAGCGCTCCGGGCAAGGAGCTGGGACTGAATGGATGGGATGGAGAGAGACCTCCCCCATGCTCCGTGCTCTCCAGCCCCGGGACAAGGACCACCCCTGCTAGCTCACAGCCTACACATAGTCCAGAGCTGATGGGACTTGGATCTAGGTCTCCGTACCCCCAGTCCAGTGCCTCAGCCATTAACAAGATCCAGTGATTTGAACCCATTCCTTCAAATCAACCTGCCCGGGCTAGTGATGATCTACAACACAGGCAACAAATCACTGGGAGATTCCTGCTCTGATTTCTCCACCCTCCTCAAACAAGTGAGGGACTCTTTTCAGTGGTTCCCAGTGACAAGACGAGGGGCAACGGGCACAAGCTGGAACATGGGAAGTTCCACTCAAATATGAGGAAGAATTTCTTTAGGGTGAGGGTGGCAGAGCCCTGGAACAGGCTGCCCAGGGAGGGTGTGGAGTCCCCTTCTCTGGAGATCTTCAAGCCCCACCTGGATGCAGTCCTGAGCGATGGCAGGGGAGTTGGACTAGCTGATCTCTAGAAGGTCCAACAATTCCGCGATTCCCACCTCCTGCCTTCCACACAACATTTCCTGAGGAAGCCACAGCTTTTATTGAGCAACCAATACTTTTTCCACCCTGCTCTGTAAGTGGGCTGCCCTATCCCATGGTGGGCAGCAGAAGGGGTTCCTGCCAGTCACCATAAATGTTAGGATGAGGGGTTAGTTCTCCCACCCAGCCTGCCAGGAGAGACCCTCCAGAATTAGTGTCTCAATTCAGTCTCAGTTATGCCACAGCACTGCCAAAGGTCAAACTGGAACGAAGCTTTTTAATTAAAACAGAGAAAGGGCTAAAGAGACAGAGAAATGAAGCGCTGGGCTTCAACCAACAGTGAGGTCACGCATATCTAACAAGCTGATCAGAGGTGACACGCTGGCTTTCTCAGCAGAAGTCTCTGCACGCTCCGGAGCACACCACAGGGATAATCCCTCCTGCACAGGGGTTCAAAGCTCTGCATGCAAAAGCCACCACAGTGACCAAGGCTAAAAGCAGGGGATGCTGCCACGTGGCCATGTTTCTCGTCATCCAGGAACCCAATAAAGTATTCGAGATGATGAACCTCCCACTGCTGTTTCCTCAGTTCCCCTCCATTTCAACGGAGCATTCTCTCAGAAGTTCAACTGAAGGCGCAAAAAGTCCTGGAACCAACAACGAGCACAGCAATGGGGGCCTTCATGCAGGAGAGGTGCAGAAGAGGGGAGAGAGTAAGAGAAACCTGAGGCCAAACCAGGTCTGAACAGAGCCCAGATCATCAAAATTCTCAGAGACACGAGGGATGTGGAAAAGGAAATGGCTCGTGGCCTGCTCCAATCCCACCTGCTGGAGCCCTGCAGGTCCCTGCTTTGCCATTTCTTGGACAGAACGGGGCAGAGTTACAGAAGCAAATCCCAGTGAGGAAGGAGGAAAAGAGATCTGAATGACATCCTGAATGCCTTCCCCATCCTCCTCCCAAGCTCACTCAGACGCCTCAACTGAGGCAAAAGGTGCTCTTCATGCTCTTAAGGCCTTCTCCTGCTGATAAGAACAACACAAAAAGTGTGTGAGGAGAGAAGAATGACAAGGGGCAGAGGGACATGGGGCATTAAAGAGCAACAGAAGCTCCGAGTTCTGCTCTTGGCTCCACTGTGCACCTCTTTGAGACCAAGGGCCAAATTACCACATCTTGGGTGTCTATTTTTGTCAGTTAGGTTGACGGTTGGACAAGATGATCTTTAAGGTCCCTTCCAACCTAGAAGATTCTGTGATTCTGTGATCTCTTTGTGTCCCTTAGGATGTGAAGTTCAACCCAGATGAGGTCTGACCGGTCCCTGATAACCTGAAGTGGAAGCTGTCCAGAAGGTGGCACAGACAAACCCCACCACTAGCACTATTCAGGTAGCTGAGAAATGGAAGTCCACCTCTGCTGCTGCCTCATCCCTCATTTCCCAAAGCTACAGCTACATGAAAGACCAAATTGTCCTGCTCTTATACTGGGTTCCTCCTCAACGCACGAGTCCTAGTGAGTTGGGGCAGCAGTAGAGCAGACTCCAGCCCTCACCATCAGTGCACTGCACTGCGCCGGCCTGGGATTCTTCTAGAACCACTCCAGCTCACGATGCAAAAGTGAAGGAGGAAGGAGGTAAGCGCCCTGCCAAAATACAACATCTTTCAAACAAAGTAACTGCACTAAAATGTGCTGGTTTATTTTCCACTCTGGGCTCCCAAAGCATTTCCCTTCTCTCCCTGAATGATAACGGGCATAAAAATTAAATATAAATTCTCCAACAAAAAGCGAAACGCACTGAAGGGTAATAAATCACGGGGGCTGGATGGCATTCAGAAGAAGTTGGGTGGAAGGAATAAAGGATTAAATAGTGCAGATACTGACTAAGATGTATCATAGACCCTTAAAAACCCAAGACTCGTCCTCAGGGCAGGGGACTCACCACAACGGGCTGAATTTTGATAAAGCAGCAAAGGGGACTTGCCCAGCGAAGCCATGGGCTTGGGCTGTGGTGCTCCCAGTCCTGTGGGGCTGCAGACACAGCTAACGTCACCCCAGTGCCACACTCGCTCCCCCACCTCATGTGGGGGTGAAAAATCTTCTAATTTCCCCAAAGCCACAGTTCTGTCCGTGTTGGCAACTGCTGTCAGAGACCTACAAACAGAAAGTCTGTTCGGAGGAGGGGGGAGTGTGTGTGTGTGTGTGTGTGTGTTCAAATTTTGTACAGAAGAGGAGACGTGCCCTTCTTGACCCCCCACATGTACAACGTACCAGGCACAGGCACAAATACAGGCTCGCTGGAGAATGGATTGAGAGCAGCCCCGAGGAGAAGGACTTGGGGGATGAGAAGCTCAAAACGAGCTGGCCACGTGTGCCCCCCAGCCCAGAAATCCCCTGAACCCTGGGCTGCATCCCCAGCAGCGTGGCCAGCAGGGTGAGCGGGGGCGTTCTGCCCCTCTGGGGAGACCCCCCCCAGTGCTGCCTCCAGCTCTGGGGCCACCAACAGCAGAAGGACATGGAGCTGTTGGAGCGGGGCCAGAGGAGGCCACGGAGATGCTGGGAGGGCTGGAGCCCCTCTGCTGGGAGGGGGGGCTGAGAGAGTTGGGGGGTTCAGCCTGGAGAAGAGAAGGCTCCGGGGAGACCTTAGAGCCCCTTCCAGTCCCTCAAGGGGCTCCAGGAGAGATGGGGAGGGACTCTGGATCAGGGAGGGGAGACACAGGAGGAGGGGGAATGGCTTTACGCTGAAAAAGGGGAGATTGAGCTGAGATGTGGGGAAGAACTTTGGTGTGAGGGTGGTGAGAGCCTGGCCCAGGTTGCCCAGAGAAGCTGTGGCTGCCCCATCCCTGGAGGGGTTCAAGGCCAGGGTGGACAGCGCGTCCTGGTGTGGTGGGAGGTGTCCCTGCCCAGGGCAGGGGGTGGTACTGGATGGGCTTTAAGGTCCCTTCCAACCCAAACCATTCTATGATTCTTCGATGTACCCACAGGCCTGATGCTGCTCCCTATTGTCCCAGGGCCACCTGCCACAGGTGAGCCACTGCACTGGCACCAGCGGTGGGATCCATCGGGGACTCCAGAAGAAGTAAAGTGGGACCCCAGGGCTGCAGTGGGGACACACACATTTCCAAACAGCAGCTACCACTGGACTGGATGCTCTCTCATCTGATGACCTGAGATTCTTACATTGGCATTTCCAGGAACCTGAAACACTCCCCGGGGTGTCACACAGCAGCACAACATTCTGGCAACACTATATATCAGCACCGATTTGCTTCTAATAAA